CAAATAATACCGTTTTGTAGTAGAGCTCGTGGAGCTCTATCATACCTGATTAAGTTGGTTCGAAAACATTGATTCTGAAAGAAGTTATGGCAGGGCCCGCGAAGGCCCGGCAAAGGCCCGGATTACAAGTATGGATTTTATAAGTTCTGAAATCCGGAGTATGTGAACTCCCCGTTTCCTGAAGTTTCAAATTTTGGATTACTAAATGTCAGGTTTACTAAATTTTCTCCGAAAATTCTGAATTTCGAAATTTTCGAATTTTGAAAAACAGTCGGTTTGCGCCCCTCCGGGCTGAGCCTCCTAGCTTCCGCTTACAGTACCCGTTGTCTTATAGACAGGTTTTGTCATTTTTCCAGGGACTATTTTTTCATGGTCTGTTAGGAAATTTCGAAATTCGATATTTTGGTTATTTAGACTTCCTAGAATTCGGAAAGTCGGAAGTAAGAAAATCCGGAAATTGAAAAAGTAAGACACTCGCAAGTTCAGAGATTAGTAAATTTCAAAAAATCAGATGTAGGAAAACATTAATTTTGAAATCTAGAAAAGTGTTTCAATCGTTATGTGTCAAATACCCAAATTTTGGTATATCAAATTTTAAGGAATCGGAAAATTCAGATTTTTGCATACTTACTAAATTCCGGGCTGGCCTGAAACGGCCCTGTTTGCAAAATTTATAGAATTTCGAAAAAGTTTAGAATCGAGAATTTGAGAACCTGAAAAATTAAAAATTCAGAAATTCAACTTTTCGAAACACAATCTCGTCGAAAAGTTTTTGGAACTTCAGAAAATCGGAAATGTTGATTTCAGAATTCGAAAACTCTAAATTTCGAAAATTTAGACATTCCGAAAATTGAAAACCTGAAATGTTTGAAAATCTGAACTTTGAAATTTTTTGGTATATTCGGTGAATAGAATCTCAGAAATTTATATATTCCGAAATTTGAAAGATGTGAAATTAAGTTCGGAAATTTTAAAAGTTATTCTGAATTCTGAAAAATCGATTGATCAGAAAGGGCGCTGTCATTTTCCCTCGCATTTTGTTTCTTTCTTTTTTTTCCTTTTATTTTGTTTCTTCTACACTGTTTCAGAATTTTTTCTTCCTTTCAAATCTTTAAAATCCATACTAAAAAAATATTTCCACAAAAATCCTTTCTCTCAAGTATAGCGTGGATAAGAAAAAAATTTGGACGGTTAGACGGAAATGACGTGAATATTTCTTCAATATACAGGGTCCGCCAAAATTACGTGTGCACAACTTTGACGCCATGGCGCTGCGCACTGACGCACTTTTGGTGCGCAATTTTTTAAAATTTTTATTAATTATTTCATTATTTATTAGTTTGCCAAGTTTCATCCCAATCGGTTATGTTTTAGGTAAATGACAGCGGCAAGTCCTCATCGTACTCTGATCGTCGACTTTTACAAGCGAGGTTTAAGCACAGGAGACATTTCTAAACGACTCGGAGTGCACCGAAACACGGTTTTCGCGACCATCCGTCGTTTCAACCAGCTTGGCCACCTCAAGGACCGTACGGGAAGAGGAAGACCGAGGACTGTAAGAACTCCAGCGAAAGTCAAGGCCGTCCGGGAGAAAGTCAGGCGAAATGCTCATCGTTCCATGAAAAAGATGTCAGATGACATGGATATCTCCTATACATCAATGAGGAGAATTGTCAGAAAAGAGCTGAAGATGACCTCTTATCGAGCAACAAAAGCTGCTATTCTATCCCAAGCCAATAAGGAGAAACGGCTCATCAAAGCGAAGCGCCTTCTCGCTGGCACGCGCAAAAAGGATTATCTTATCACCATCTTCTCGGACGAGAAACTCTTCAGTGTCGAGGCTGAATTTAATAGCCAAAACCACCGAGTGCTGGCCACAAATATTCAACAAGCAGCTGAGCGTGGTAAAACAATCCATCGAGCCTCTCATCCTGCGAGCATCATGGTTTTCGGAGCGGTTTGCTATGATGGGAAGTGTCCGCTTGTTTTCGTTGATAAAGGCGTGAAAATCAACCAAAAATACTACATTGAGGAGATTCTGGAGAAGCATGTGCTACCGTGGGCTCAAAACCACTTCGGTCAGAAGAAATACATCTTCCAGCAAGATGGAGCGCCTGCTCATACCGCAAAAATGGCTCAACAGTGGTGCAAGGACCACTTCCCCGCCTTCATACCAAAGGACGAATGGCCGGCTTCGTCGCCTGATCTGAACCCGCTCGACTACTCCGTATGGGGAGTTCTGCAGAATAAGGTCTGCGCAAGACCTCATGCAAATATCGAGGCCCTGAAGAAGTCGTTGTCTGAGGAATTTGACAAATTATCCGTCGAATACCTGCGTGCCACCATTGATGCCTTCCCTCGACGACTTCGTGCCGTGGTCGCTGCCAAAGGAGGTAGAATCGAATAATTTTTGTTGAATTATGATTTCAAGCGTTGAAATAAACTATCTGTTAAATTTCGTCTTAATCTCGCATCTACTTCTGGAGATAACGTCATCTACACTTGCACACGTAATTTTGGCGGACCCTGTATTTCTAAAAATTCGAACTGTAGAAATTGAAGAACGTCTCTAGAAGACGTCAGACACAAAATTTCGAAAGATTAAATATTCGGGCATCATCTAGCTGCTATTTCGGGTTATCTGTGAAAATTTGGGAAAATTTGGTTCATTCTGGACTTCGTTAGGGAAGGTGATACGGGAACAAACGGACACACACACTCACACACCGAATTTGGTGATTGTTAATAGTAAAGATGCAAATTGATTAAAAAAAATCATTAAAATGTACCACGGCGAATAATATTGGAAATCGAGTTTTTCTGATTTTTTTCTGATTTATTGGCGCTTTTCTCTATACAGGGGAAAATCAGCTTTTTTGGCATTAAAAAATTCTGGGTCTAAAATTTTTTTTCAAAATAGGTAGAAATTGTAGAGAATTTGAAAACAAATCAAATGATCTAAAAAACGTCTGATTTGGCCCAAAAATAAAAGCCCTGATAGATTTTCTAAAAAATCAACCGAATTTTGTAATTTTTGAAGGTTTTTGAAAGTTTTCAAAAAATCTGTCGAACCATTCTTAATGAAAATAGGTAGGATTTGTCCAGAATTTTACGAGAAATTTGCTGATATTAAAATCAACCCATAAAATTCAGAATTGAGACCCCTGATAGGATTTGAAGCAGTCGCATTACTGTAGATTTGAGGGAAAATTATTATTTTTGTTCAAAATTTGCTGCATTTTTATTTGGCGTGGCATTTTTGGCTTGGATCGACGTGGAATGACATAGAAGAGGGAAATTTGAGGGGAAAAGTGATGGCTTGAGTCTCAAATCCATTCATATGTCGGTTCACGAACAAATTAATTTCTTTTGAACTTTTTGAATTTTGCTCTTTTCTCGATGCACGAGAAAAGCGCCAGCAATCGCCGTTCCACGTTTTTCACAAATTTTTTGGCGTGTGTACTATATAACCAATCCGACACATAACATTAAGAAAATTTTAATCTAGGAAAAAATTATTTAAGCGATAAGTTGTTGTCATTTTGACTGTTGCTGAATCACATGTTTGGGCCTTCAGTTATATCGGTCCTGAATTTTTTATAGTAACCAGTCTCTACAGAAAATTTGACATATCAAGCAATTTACGGAAAAGAAAACTTCACATTCTAGAAAACCTTTAAAAAATGTTCCAATTTTTTAGGAGTTTGAGATCATAAAATGTTCCAAACAATCTTTGGACTTTATTGAAAACACAGAAATTTGTGTTTTTTCATCTTTCTCCAGAACATTTCCAAACTCTAACTCTTCTCTAAAAAAGTTATAGCCATCGTAACCCAACTTTCGATTTTTCAATGGTTCTCATTGATAAATCTCAAAATAAAGCGATATGTGTACCGGTATTGTATAACGTATAACGTATTCGCTGTACAGGGCGTGCTATTTGAAAAAAGTCGATACGGAGTATTTTTTTTGGTTTACAACTTTCAATAAGAAAACGTTAATTGTTTTTAAACGTGTCACCCTTTTTCTCATTTTGTTTTCGTTTTTCCGAAATTTGGTTAGACCAAAAATGACAAAAGAGACTGATGTGTGCGAAGCAATTATCAAAAATATTGCGAATCGAACCAAGAATTAGACACAGCCCGAACACCTCGCCAAATGGTGCGAACTGATGAAAAAGGAATTTGGTGTCGAGAAAACGGCTCATGCCCTCGAACGCTCGTAAGTTTATCGTATTCGATAATTCACAGAGTTAAAAATCAATTTTCTATTCAGAATTCAGAGACGGCTGGAGAAAGTTGAGAATCTGGTGGGATTATCAACAATGGAGAAGGTGAAACTGTTAGTCCTGTTCAGCAGACGATTGACTCCTGTATTCGCTAAAGTGTAAGTTGATTTCTCCGTGAAGATAGACGCATCGGAAAAGATTGTGTACTTCAGTAGTCCCGATGGAATTATCCTCCAATCACCGCCAGTCAGAAATGTTTCTGATACTCAAGTTACCGCGAAAGACCTTCCAATCGAGGTCACAAGAGCTGAAGATTGGATTCTGGACAAAAAATCTGAGTTGTGAGTTTGACAGTTAACAAAAAATCTGATCATCTAAATTTAGACCACAGGACATCAGTCTTCGGAAATTGACGGATCAAATTGAGGCCTTTGCTTACAATTATGATATGGAAGAGTGGTTCAAACAGAAAGCACGGAGAGCGGTGTGGTTATACAAGGATAAGGATCAGGTTAGAATGGATTTTTTGTTTTGAAACCAAAAAAAGTTTCAAATTTCAGACAATCCCTTTACAAGAATTCAATAATTTGTTCGACGCCGTTGCGAGAAGTTTGACAAGAGAAAGTGTTCAAAAGACGGATGTTAATACAATGCAATTGATGAACTTTTTCAATATACTCGGTGAAAACCTGAATCGTTCATTCGGGGGTGATGCAATGAAATAGGCGATGAAAATTTTGAACTCGATGGAAGAGAAGAGGTATGAGAGGCATTTTTAAATGTTCAAAACGGGTTTTTCTTAATTTTCAGATTTCATTGAAAACAGTTCAAATGAAAATCGACGCGCTCATGCAAATCATCTCCGGCATCTGGGCAAATTTGGATGGATGATGATTTCAACTACAAACTATTCAGTTTCCTTTTTCTATGCACCCTCCCTCAAATTCAAAACTCCCTGAATTTCATGTACCCCTTCGATCGAGCTGAAGCTCAAACTATAAGCTCAAAATTTGAGGTCAAATTATGAGGTCAAACAATGAGCTCAAAAAATGAGCTCAAAATTTGTAAAAAATTAGGTTTTTTGAATTCAAACTGAATGAAAAGTTGGCTTTTTTAGCTTAAAAAATGAGCTCACAAAATGAGGTCAAAATTTGAGCTCACAAAATGAGCTCGAAATATGAGCTCAAGATATGAGCTCAAAATGTGAGCTTAAAAAATGAGCTCAAAGTTTAAGCTCAAAAAATGAGCTCGAAATATAAGCTCACTAAATGAGCTCAAACTATGAGGTCAAGATTTGAGCTCACAAAATGAGCTCAAAATTTCTAAAAAATTGGGTTTTTTGAATTCAAACTGAATTAAAAGTTGGCTTTTTTAGCTTAAATAATGAGCTCACAAAATAAGCTCAAAATTTGAGCTTTGGCTGAAATTGTTCAAACAACTTGAAAGAAACTTGATTCGTTCATAGATTTATTATTCACCAAGTATCGAAGGGGTACATGAAATTCAGGGAGTTTTGAATTTGAGGGAGGGTGCATAGAAAAAGGAAACTGAATAGTTTGTAGTTGAAATCATCATACCATCCAAATTTGCCCAGATGCCGGAGATGATTTGCATGAGCGCGTCGATTTTCATTTGAACTGTTTTCAATGAAATCTTAAAATTAAGAAAAACCCGTTTTGAACATTTAAAAATGCCTCTCATACCTCTTCTCTTCCATCGAGTTCAAAATTTTCATCGCCTATTTCATTGCATCACCCCCGAATGAACGATTCAGGTTTTCACCGAGTATATTGAAAAAGTTCATCAATTGCATTGTATTAACATCCGTCTTTTGAACACTTTCTCTTGTCAAACTTCTCGCAACGGCGTCGAACAAATTATTGAATTCTGATGATGATTTCAACTACAAACTATTCAGTTTCCTTTTTCTATGCACCCTCCCTCAAATTCAAAACTCCCTGAATTTCATGTACCCCTTCGATACTTGGTGAATAATAAATCTATGAACGAATCAAGTTTCGTTCAAGTTGTTTGAACAATTTCAGCCAAAGCTCAAATTTTGAGCTTATTTTGTGAGCTCATTATTTAAGCTAAAAAAGCCAACTTTTAATCAGTTTGAATTCAAAAAACCCAATTTTTTAGAAATTTTGAGCTCATTTTGTGAGCTCAAATCTTGACCTCATAGTTTGAGCTCATTTAGTGAGCTTATATTTCGAGCTCATTTTTTGAGCTTAAACTTTGAGCTCATTTTTTAAGCTCACATTTTGAGCTCATATCTTGAGCTCATATTTCGAGCTCATTTTGTGAGCTCAAATTTTGACCTCATTTTGTGAGCTCATTTTTTAAGCTAAAAAAGCCAACTTTTCATTCAGTTTGAATTCAAAAAACCTAATTTTTTACAAATTTTGAGCTCATTTTTGAGCTCATTGTTTGACCTCATGACCCAATATTGTTAGACACGTCCGTCCCTCCTCACCACTACACGAATCTCGGAGTCTGCAAGAAGACTGTCCACAACATCATCAAACGCAGCGGAGTCATCGTCTCCCAAAATATGAAGAAGGCGCCAAAGATGACGGCAGACCACAAGGCCAGAAGACTCGAGTTTGTGAAACAAAACATGACTCGGAAATGGGAAAACGTAAGCTCATTCTTTCACATGCATTTTCAAATTAATTGATTTTCAGGTTCTCTTCTCGGACGAGAAAAAGTGGAACTTAGACGGCCCGGACGGCAATAGAAGTTACTAGAGAGACCTCCGAAAGGACCCTCTACTCTTCTCTCGAAGGAACTTTGTAGGCGGATCCTTGATGGTGTGGGGAGGATTCTGCAACGGACGAAAGATGAATTTACAGTTCATCACAACAAAAGAGATCTCCGTTACGTACCAAAACACGCTCCAGAACGCCATCGTACCCTTTTTCCGAGACAAACGTCGAACACACGTCTTCCAACAAGACAACGCCTCGATTCATAAGAGCACTTCCACACGGGATTGGTTGAAGGCACAAAAAATCATGGATCTCGAGTGGCCAGCAGTCAGCCCAGACCTCAATCCAATTAAAAATTTATGGGGACTGCTGGTTCGACGTGTCTACAAGCACGGAAGACAGTTCAACACGGTTCAACAGCTCAAGGACATCCTGCAAGCCGAGTGGAACGCTATCACAGCGGCGGAGTTGAGAGCTCTCGTGGCCAATATGCCCAACAGATTGTTCGAAGTCGTCCAGACGGATGGAGGAGAAACAAGTTATTAATTTTTTCTCTTCGTTATTGTCTTTTTTTTCGCTGAATTTTCCAGTTTTGTTAATAAACTTGAATTTTGTTAAGAAGTGTTCTTCTTTATCCAAAAAAAATGACCGAATTTTTGATAAATAAGGTGGATTGAGAAATAAAACTATGAAAAACAATAAACCCAGTACAAATAAATGTGATACAAAAAGAAAAATAGTCGAATAAATGGGTATCGCTTCAAAAATGCTAGGTGGTCCTATCCTTATTACACGGCCTAAAAAACGACTTTTGGACGGTGGACCGGTAAGGAAAGTGCTAGAGTTATGAAAATTTGGCTTCTGGGGTTGTTTTTTATTTTGAATCGAATGGCATTCATAGAATTTTGATATCTCTCTTACTTTTTTCTGAAAGGTCAAAATCAAAGGGGGTCCTATCCTTATTACACGCACTGTAAAAAAAGGAAACGGAATAGTTTGTAGTTGAAATCATCATCCATCCAAATTTGCCCAGATGCCGGAGATGATTTGCATGAGCGCGTCGATTTTCATTTGAACTGTTTTCAATGAAATCTGAAAATTAAGAAAAACCCGTTTTGAACATTTAAAAATGCCTCTCATATCTCTTCTCTTCCGTCGAGTTTCTCAATCTCGTCTTCCAAAATTTTCATCGCCTCTTTCATTGCATCAACTTTCGATTTTTCAATGGTTCTCATTGATAAATCTCAAAATAATGCGATATGTGTACCGGTATTGCATTCGAATAACGTATTCTTATTAACCATGTTCAAATTCACAGAGAAAACAGAACTCCAAAAAAAAATTGAAAACCAAAAAAAGTTTCGAAATTTTTCAGTAGTCGAAAACTTGAAAAACTGTGAAAAAATACAAAAATCACGAAAGAATGAAGTTTTCTATCGGAAGATGAGACTCTACATTTTTGGTCTCAACATGAAAAATGTTTTAAATAACAAAATATGTTTACTCCAAAAGAGATTCCGTTTCTACCTCAAAAAATAAAAATGTTTATTTTTTGATCGGCGAGTTTTGCAGATCGGATCCAAGTGGGCGGAGCCAATCAAAAGTATTCTCAAATTTCTTAGAAGTTCAAGTGTACTAACTGTATTTAATATCAACACATTTGGAATAGTTTGATTTTTATTTGTACATATGACAATGGGTCGATGCTCGAAAACTACAGAGAATATGCGTTAAACTCTGTGATTTCAGTGATTTTCTGAACCGAATTAAGAATTTTTGTAGAAATATGGTCGCTAGCATCTCTAGAATATATTTTTTCTCGAAAAATCTAGCTTAATTGTGAAAGTGGCACAAACGAGGCGAAACTCTGAAATATTACGATTTTGCCGTGCTTTTTAGTAGATCAAAATAAATGAAAGTGTCGAAATTTTCAGGTGTCAGCTTTTTTAATCAGACAATAGGTTCTGAAAAGCGTCACACAGAGCTCCTTATCTGTTGAATGTTTTGTGATTTTCCAACCTCCCGAAGTCTATTGTTCTGATAAGGCATAAACCCCACTCATAGTTCAGCTATATTTGATCAAATTTTAACGGTCTTCGGAAACTGCTGTGATAAGAATATTTCTTGTTTTTCGAATATATCAAAGGACTCGTTCTTTATTGCAGGATGGGCTGGTAAGAGGGGATCCGGGGGCAACCTAATCTTTGCTTCATGCTATTGATTTCAAAGATTAGGTATAGAATAAAATGTGACGGGGAACAAGAATAGACAGACAAAGACATCTAGCGCGATTTTTAAAGATAATCAAACAAATCCGAAATGTTTCTATACATGAAGGGGCAAACCCAATTGACGGGATCGAATCGGTCGGATGTACAAGTCTCATCAAGAACGAAAATTTGAGAAAAGGCATTTTCGGGATAAAGTCCACCAACTTATCCCCAAGTAACAGATCTAATCCTTTCGACAAACTTTTCGCATTGACATTTCTAAAATTGCATGAAGAGGGTAGAGGGAGAACGGGGAGGGAACAGAGATTCTAGTGTGAACATATGTATATATTAATAAAACAACAATAAAATTGAGAAAGAGGGGAAGGATGAAAAGTAGTTACAAAAATTTCCAAGAAACCAATGAGGATAAGATATTTGGAATTGGTTTGGCGGTTGAGTGTGAGAAAGCCCCGTTTTGAATGATTGGGAGAGCTGGAGAATGAAAGGTAAAGTGGAAAATCAGATAGTACATCCCGTATTACATTAAAAACTACCTAATACAACAAAAAATGTGATGAAAATAAGGATCACATGATCAAAGGTCTGAAATCTGAGGAGAAAAATATCAATTGGATGACGGGTGCTGCTGCTGTTGGTTAAGTCCTCCGGCATCGTTACCGAGCATTCCAGATGATCCATCTTGATTTTGTGCATATTGAGATCCTTGAGCTGGGACACACGTATTGGCCACATTTTGGAATAATCTGAAAAACAGGTCGAAATCAAAATCTGTATACTTTGTAAGTGAGTTGCCAATAACGCAAATGAATAACAGCTGATGGTTACTTGGGATACATACGGATGGGACACTACGTAAGCCAGATAATCTTACCTTTGAATTTCTGGAGCACAGCTAGTAAATTCGTAACGCCAGAAGTTGTATGTTGGGTTCTTGATCAGCTCGATGAATGTTATCAGAAGACCCCAAGGATGAGGACGAAGTGCAACGAGGCGTTCGAACAGTATACGCGTGATTTGCTCTTGAATGGTGTCGTTAGTCGAGTTTTTGAAAAGATACAAGAAGACGCAGCTGAAGTAGTGAGTGTGAGCGTTCGGGTAACGAAGTTGATTAGCGATTCCGTTGAACAGCAAGTATCTTCCTGCAAGAAACAAAAATGATTCAATGTAAACATATTAAAAATAACATACCTTCAGTGTCCAATTGAATAGCCAAATTCTGGAAAATATCCATGAACGATGTATGAGCTATACTCAATGTAGAAATGCGCTGACGTCTCAAATGCAGGTTTTCAATAGCACGAATGCCGACGTACAGAACAAGAGCATTCATGACTGTCGTGTTATATTTGGTACCAGATTGATTTGGAGTTTGAAGTAGAGTCGGCAGTCTTGGAAGGAAGTCAACAGGTGTTCGATTCGCCAGATATTCATCCAATGGAACTCGAATGTTATCAGGGATTATGGTGGCCATGTTCAAGTTCGATTTTGGTTCAACAGCCATTTCTGGGATTGTATCTACTTGTTTGAAGTTCAGAGCGAATGGATCCGGAAGACGCATTTCGTGAGGGAAGGCAGATAGAATCAAATTGCGCAGTTGCACGCAGTTTGGCGGAATCGTATCACATATGACGTAGTGGAATTCGCACAGAAGCTCTGGGAAATCGTGTAGAATAACAAGAAGAACACGGAGCGTTCCTTTGTAGAGAATAGCGATAGACTTCGGCAATTGAATATTTCGTAGGAATGGTGCCAAGAACTTGAGATGAGAGATGATCAACTGAGTATATGTTGCAGCTGTTTTCACTGAATCCACTGTTTCGGCAATCCCTGTGTTGGCCAAAAGACGTCCGATAACATTTCTGTGTCCGACAATGTCGAGCCAAGCGAAAGCAAAGCCTGGCATGCGCCTTGGCTGAAGAGCGAAGAACGTTTGTCCAAAAGCTTCCAAAATACTCCATGCGATTGGCTCCAGTAGCTTCAGTGGATCGGGCCCAGTAATTTCGTTGAACAAACTGATGAGGATTCGATGATACGGCATCGCGTTGAAATCTGTTTTGCGAACTTCGTGATCCATGTGAAGAACCCCAACGATAATGTTCAGTAGCTAAAATAAAGCCATTTAAAATTGTTAACAAATCCGTTTACTTACTTTTTTCAGCAGATTAATCTTATTCTGCGACTGTCCATTGTCCGAATGTCTGATCATCAAAGCCATAAGTTTGACAAACGCGTCCAGAGTGTAGTAGCAGCGGTGACGAATAAGATTTGTTGGTAAACCGTTTGCGATTTGTTCCGACTTCATAACTCGTACTGAGATGTCTACACAGTTCTCCACACAAAGTCGGAAAAACTGAGTTATCTTGTCATCAGTAGCAAGAACACCATGCTCATGCATGAGCTGAATCATTTGAGCAAGTGACTCCTGTGGGCTTCTCTGTCCAGTGGGTGAGTAGCACAAACTGATCCATTCTCGCATAATTACTTCAACTTTGGCTGTCATCTCTTGATCATCATATCCTCGTTGAGCCATGGCTTCAGCAGATGCTTGTGGCATTGGAGCAGCGTCCATTGGGAGAGTAACTTGAGGCTGTTGTTGTTGTTGTTGATGTTGAATTCCAGGGTGATGATGAGAACCATTATTAATTCCGTTGTTCAGCCCATCAGTTCGAGTTGCCGACTGAAGTTGATGAAGCTTAGTTAGCTGATCGCAAGTCATCGGGAATCTCTCTTTCAGATACTGGAGACGGCTCATATCACCACCCCCAATACTTCTAACAAATTTCTGGGCAAAGCACACTGCTTCCATATTTCCACCATTGTCCATGCTGTCGGCGAGGTACTGATCCCAAAGTGTAGACTGAAGTAAGTTTTGTTTGAAAAGTATTTCAATTCCCTCCAAGTTCCACTTATAATCCGAACGAATTTGCATTATCGCTGACGTAATGCGTCGAGAAAGATCGACCAAAGGATAGTATGCTTGTAGAAGACGCATCAGCCCTATGAAAAGATCACGAAGGCGTCGAGCCCATTCCACATCCAACAAGTTCTTAGTTGGCTGTCCCTCAAGACGGTACGCATGCAACAGGTGCTCTGTGCATCGCGAAACAAGAGCCATTAACTTGTTTGCATCCTTCGAAACAGTAATCTGTTGCATCCAGTCGCGAATCCAGCATACTGTTTGAAACGCGGGATTGTTAAGGTGCGGTTGAGCTTGAGTGGTTTGATCCACTTCCTTAATGATAATTTGCAATTGTTGGCAGATAACATCCATATCTTTGCTGTGAGTTTGAACTGGAGGGTTAGCGCTATTTGGTTCCGAGCCGAGAAGATCTTCGCCAGAATTCGCTTTGAAACCACAAATCCGGCTGCTGAATTGGGTGTAAATATTCATCAAAGCAGAACTGGTCGGTCCTGGTTCAGTGGCAATAACTTTCGGTAGTTGGGAATGAACAGCAACAGCTGCCTCATCTCGATACGCTCCTCCTTCAGTCTTTGCATTAATTCTCTTCTGGTAATCGGCTTCCAGACGCTTCTCAATTTCCTGAGTTGCCTTCTCACAAGCCGTTTTGACAATGAAGTTGGTGGAAAGTTCAACGTTATCTTGCGTTATCGTAGATGATGCTTCTTCGATCATTTGTTTCAATTCTGGAGTCCCGTTGGATGAACGCAGTGATGACGAGAACGCTTGAGCCAAGTTAGCATGCATTGTACTCGCCAGCGGGTCACGACATGTGATCATTGCCATTCCAGCTGTCATTGCACGCATCTAAAAAAGGTTTTCATTGATATTCGAAACAGCATAGTTCATTACTGATGGTTTTTAAAAAACTTACCATATGGAATGAAGCGGTTTTCAAATTCTGCTCTTCGGGATCTAAAGCGAAATCCTTTCGAACCAACGACTCTGTAACCGTCATCGCGATCTTCAAAGCTCTTTCGGTGACTGGTCCGATCAACTCTTTGATGGCATGGATCATAGCTGGGCGGACCAAGTGTTTTGCATGCGGGTGCAATTGGAAGAGAGGAAGATTTGCAACAATCTTGACGTGTGGCACGAGACCGTCGTATGTGAGCACATTTATGTCGTGATAGGCGAAATGAGTGACGTTTGGAGTTACTTGCGGCTCCGTTTGTGATCCAGCTCCACCTCCTGCTTGTAGCTCAGCTTCTGTTGGTTGTGGTGTAGCAGGTTTTTGCTGATCAGGGATAGCAGGGGACATTCCGGAAAGCTGTTCAGCTGAACCCGACAAACGAATTTGCGATTGCACTGGGCTCGCCGCTTCTGGTCGTCCGAGCACTTTCACTTCACAAAGCTGTTGTGGAACTCGCACGAGCTTCTCCGTATCCTTGAGAATACCATCCATTGGCAAGACACCAAGATCAACATTCAATTCTTTGCACAATACTTCGATTTCGAACTTCAAATTTATTTTGAGATCAGGTTCATTATGCAGTTCGGCCAGAACTTTTAGAATACTTCGAATCCAAGCACAAGTTGGAGTGAACAACGATGTTTTTGAGCACGCTGTCAGAATTTTCGATATAAACGGAACCACAAATAGTAACTCTGCTTGTCCTTTGTAGTAAGCCTCCAGTAACAAACTCTTCAAATCCAGATCATTGAGCAAAATAGGTTTGTTCCTCGCAATAGTGATCGATCCAAGCCAACTTCCGAGATTTTTCAGCAACTGCCGATCACTGTAGTTAGAAGCAACAGTCGTTTTCTTATCGGTCCGAAGAAGGATACGAATGTTTCTGAATGTTTCTCTCTTGATGCATTGGTCAAGGTATGCATTGTCGATGGCTGTGACAAACTGATTATAGAGTGGTTGAAAATTTTGTTCGATAGAGACTCTCTTCATGACGATATATTGAGCCAACCAACGTGTGAAACCATCTCCATGTTCAACAATCATCTCCAACACTTCATCTTTCTTCTGAGCCAAATTGGTTGCAGACAAATTATTGAATAAAAACGAGATTTTGTCCACTACAGCTTCAGCGGGCTGAGCGATCTCCGCTCCATCCTTATTTGTTGCCTGGACAAGAGTATCCACATTGGTGTATGAAAGAACGTTGCCAGTTCGATTCGCAGGAAGAGCATTTTTTGGATCGGTCGAGGATGCTCGTGCAACAGCTCCCCAATTTGTCGGAGCAGATGCTGGTGTTGGTGTGGATGAAGCCGACGAAGGATTTGTACCAACGGGAGTGTGACGACCACCTTCTGGTGGGAGCTCTCCTTTGACACCGGCAATAACATAATCTTTCAACGTCTGGGGGAATTTAGTGAAGTTCTCGCTGTTGGCTATCATAGTGCAAACCTGAAAACATTTCAAAATAAATATAACTTCTCTAACTGCATCGATTTACGTCAAAAATAAAATTTTTATAGTATTTTAATTTCGACTTTTAAAGGCTTGAAGGGATCTGAGAAAAATTAAAGAAATGTTATAAACCGGTGTTGATTTTGCTGAAACCGGAAGAAGTGAGATAGCGAAAGATCATAGAATGAAAGCCTTTCTTTCATTGAAAGGTAATGGAAAACTAGGAACCGAAGAGAAGATGAGGAAAAAAAGACACCCCGCCGGGAGGCAGTATACTTTAATTTGCGTAATTACGTGTAACTGAATGGACCAATTGACTAGCAACTTTCAGGGTTGCCTAATTGGGTAGCCTGAATCGTTAAACAAATCGAAAAATAATAAGGTTACTGTTTCATTCAACAAACTTTCTTTCAACAGGCGGGGCGAATGCCCTAGTTTTTTTCCCCACAGAATCTTTCTGCAAACCGTATTTCTCTCCATGTGCAGTATTTCTCAAACCCCTCAAAGTCAAAATGCGACACAGAACAACAAGAAAAAGACTGCCAGTATTTCATCAAACTATTTTACTTTTGGTTTTTTGATAATCATCTCACCTTCGGATAAGCACACAGTTTGCTTCTGCAATGTTGAAGTGCGACTATTCCAAACGTCCAGAGCATCGTATTCGAATCTGCACTCAAACTCTCAATAACCTTCCGAACGGCTGTGGCAAACTGAACGTTGCTGATAATATCTTCCCGAATAATTCCTCCATAAACAGCAGCCGTGGTTCGCAGCTCTCTTTCTGGATATTCATGGAAGAAACGATATTCTTCGAACAAGTTTTTGACCACACATGCGAGAACATGGCGTTCGCGACGATCATTGCCAGTCTTGAACTTTTTCAGTAAATCGATTAATGTATCCACGGACATTGCGTTGTTAACACTGTAAATTTTCTCGAAGTACGAATTGGCTTCTTCCTGAATGTCTTCGGCGAATGTCATTGATGCAAAGTCTTCCATGCCTGGTTGTTGAGCCGCAGCGGCCACAGCAGCTGCACTTCCTGCTATCGGAGCACCAACAGAAAATCCGCTATTTGTCGTCGTTCTCGTCACTCCACTCGTCGCGCTTCTACCACTGACACTTCCGCTCCTTTGCAACTGGTGAGATCCTTGTGAAACGAAATCAGGAATTTGCCCTCGGAAATCCATTGGTTGTTGTGGCGTCGGAGGTCCAGATGGTCGCTGTTGCGGCGGAGCTGGAGTGGTATTCCAGCTGGGATTAGAATTCTGAAATACATAATGTTAGATTAAAATGGAAAGGAAAATGCTGATATATACTAGAATATTGAGAAAAATATAAGATTATCATTTCGAGTAAAATAATATTACCTGCCGTTGTGCGAGCGGAGGAATTAAAGATCGCATCATTTGCGAAGAAGGGGACATCGAAGAAGATGGAGGAGGCGCAGGCTGAACAACTTTCAGCAAATCACGATTGTTCGCGTTAAACTGATTCATGTTCATGAGAAGATTCATTCCTGGCTGAGAATTCTGCGATGTGTTTGGTGGCGGTTGATTCTGTATTTCAACATTTCGTTAAACCAAAACAATGTATGAATCGAAATTTACCATCATATGTGGATGCTGTTGAGCTTGAGGTTGTGGTTGAAACATGGGTTGTGGGGGAAACTGCGCCGGTCTTTGTATCGGACCTGGAATCGCTTGCTGACTGTGCATCTGCGGCTGTGGCGGAGCTGCTGACGTCACAAGTGACTGCTGCGAAATTTGTTGCTGCAGGAGAGGTGGTTGTGATTGCTGCTGAGGAACGGCGCCGGATGGTGGATGTCCGGTGCCGCTGCCGTACTGTTGTTGTGAACCTCCTGCCTGTACTGTTTGATGTCCGCCCGATGATACCGACGAACTTCTACCCGAGTTCTCTTTCATTACCTAAAAAACGTAAGAAATTATAGGTGATCATTTGAAGATTAACAAAATGTGTGACGCTTAGAGAATGGTGTCCGTTGTCGAAAGTCAATTAATTTAGTTCACCATTCAAATAAGGTGGGAACTAACTAACGTATTATAGACTAGATAACATGTGATTGTCCGCAATAATGAGCTAAAAAGAATATCGATTTGTCATCATTGGCCGCAACCCGATATCAATAATTTTAAAACCACTTCGGAACAAAACTAAAGTTTGAAAACGCTCATCAGAACATTCGATATTAAATATTTCTACCAAGAAACCCAAACAAGAAATCTAGAAACCCGCCAGAGACTGACAAATCGTTAGCAAAAACAGAGTAGCGCAGCGACCGAGGCATCACGAACGAAAGACACAAAGAAAGCCGCGACGCAACCGCTACGCGTCGCCCTGTTGGACGTTCGTTTGAAAATCTTCGTGCATTCCGGACTAATTTAGATCAGGTTTTCGCTGTAATTTTCAATTGAGAAGCATAGAATATAAGGATATAAAAATGATATTATAATTTTTGGCAATTTCAAATGCAAAATGCTTTCGTTCGTGCCCTGAAAAAACTAAACTATGAAAACAAGAAAGATAAAGTATCGAACTAGCAAAAATCTGCGAAGTATATTTCGGAATGATGTTGAAGCATAAATAGGTTGATCACTACTAAAAACACCACATTTCTGTAAACCACACTCAATACGAGGGATCTTAGTTCATATTATGTCGGTGTCACAGTGTTTGTTGAATTTTTACCACGTTCAGACTACTGAAAATTTCAAAAACAAAAATATTAACCTGGAAAAGTAATGGATATTGCTGCCGATGAGGCTTTCTTGCTCTTTTTCGAACAAATTTGATAAGCACGTGAAGAGGATCAGATGGAGCGCTTGAGCTTGTTGTTTTGCCTTGAGGTGCTAGTGCTGCTACCAATTGTTGCTTTTGATATTTCTTGTGAATATACTGTAGCAGTGCAACGGTCATCGCTTCTCCATGAGCCTTTTCCTTATCCTCTATCCACTTCTCCAAATTCAAATAGTCTCGTTTCGAAGCGAGACATGCTAGATCCACCATAAAAGGAAGATGCTTAGCAGACTGATTTAAAAGTTCAGAGAGACCGGTTGGCTTGATATCATGAGCAACATCGAGAATTTTGGCAAGCTGCGTGTTATCGGAACTGTATATACTTGTTAGTGACCAGATGATGTGTTGACGCATATGTTTGGATATGGCTGGCTGGAAATAATTGTTTTTAGAACGGTTTATTATGGTGAGATTGTTTTTGCAATCGAGAATTTACATAGACACCTACGTCGTTCCATGACATATTCAAAATGGGGATCACATTTGGGCTTTTGGAGATCCAGTCAGGTAGATACTCGCGAACTAAATCCTGCCGTGTTGTAGTCCATTGTGTAGGTGAGAGTATCAAAGCCAAAATGCAAACATCCCCAGTTTGGGTGTATCCAATTTTAAAGAAATCTCGATGAGGAGATTGAGGTTGGGTGTTGAGCAATGTGAGTAGAATATTACTGAACTCTTGACAATTCCACAACTGAACAATAGGTGGTGTGTCATCAGGAATCGTTTTTAAATTTAGTTCTGGAGTCAGCACTTTAGTGTGAAAATAGTTTGAGAAGTTCCAAATATCGGCATACTCCAACATGTGGTCGTATAAATGAAGCTGCCGATCCCAATGTTTCCATGGCGAATAAAAGAAGGAAATCGGGAAATTTTGAGGATCGTCTTTGAACATGATTGGAAAGATCTCGGAAAAAAGAACGAAAGTATCCCGACTGACATAAAGCTTTGGATCATCCAGTTCTTTGACAACTTCGACCCAATTAATATTTGGAAACCAATCGTAGGATTCGTCATGGCCATCAGTTTCGATTTGCTTTTCTTTGATGTATCGAATAACACCATGCACGAAATTCGCTCCTGGCCAATATTGTTGTAGGTCGCTAGAATTTTATAATTAGTATTAATATAATCATATCAAATCAGTAAAAACACTCACAACGGCTTTGCTAGTGTCACATCATAGTTGCATTGATTGATAAAAAGCAGAGCATTCGCGATTGAAGAGTTGGTGACCATTTCTGAATGTATTATGGTGAACTGTTAAATTTTCTCATTCTTACTTCGTTGCACAGGTGCTTGTTTCAATTCCTTGACGAAGTCATCTACAGAATCTAAAATACGCGGTCCATAAATTTCTAAGCGTCTCTGAAGAGCCTCCCGACTAGAATCCATTATAGCATCTTTCACAGGCTGTGTCAATTTCGGATCTCCGAGTCGAGAAGTGGTTATTGTGTCGACCGATTGTGCATCCATGTCGAGAGCCCCGGGTTCTTTACTAGGATTCAACCGTGAATTGGAATACATCATAAAGGCCAGGGCTTGAATTATTTCCGCGTTATTGGCATTGGAGCACTGTAATCTAACTCTTTATAATGAACCTGGAATATCAATTCATACCGTGATCAGGTATTGAACTATCTTGGTGGGATCGGCGTTCCTGCTGACAACAGATGCTTTCACCTCCTTATCCAGAAACGTTTCAATGATATCTATGAGTGTCTCCGAAGTGAAGTTGCCGCGTGCAATGTGATTGTAGACTTCGGCACTTTCTGGAGACAAGACTAAAAAATTAGATGTTCAGATTCTCTGATCAGTTTTCATAATTCCAATATATAGAAAGAATATAAAAACCACAAGCATCACCTGAGTATTCACAATGTGCTATGAATAATGGCTGGAGGTATTCGCGAAGACGTCTGATCTTGACCAGTTTGTTGAGGAACGGAAGAATTACCGGAGGATCGTATAATCCGGCGAGCTGGAATATTACTCTTTAACTAGAATTGAAATATGTTTATGAAATCGAAAATTTTTTGTAACTGTTGCTAAAAGTACATCTATAGTGAAAGCGAAAAAAAACTATATTGGAAGAATGTGAAGCAAAGACTACATTACAAAAAAGATAGACACGAAGGAGAACAAATGAAAAGGTCGTCAAATTTGGTGTATTGATATAGTAGATACATTTTAACATCGTCTTATTCAGTGTTATTATTCTGGTGAAAAAAAAACTGAAATTGTTGAAGAGAAAGACCGGTGGCCGTGGCCGAAGATCTCACAACGGCAACTACCGTAACCTAAAAGTGTTTTAAGTCAACTTTTCCAGTATCAAAATTTTCAATCTTCCAACTTGTCTGGCGAAAAATAACAGAAAAATTGGCGGGAATCAGTAGACGACGAAGAACTAATTCTTGAAAATAAACATATTTTTAGCTTACTGTTATTGTCGTGGTGGGACCTTACACAGCTCCGATATCCTTTGTACCAGACAACCAGAGAGCAGGATTCAATGAATAATGACACTGTTATAAGAATTATTTTGGAAATACTTTCTTTTTAGACCTTCGTGTTGCTCAGAAAACTACATACAAATCAGGTCAGGCAGATCCTTAATCACTAAAGAAGAACAACTGAGACTCTAACGCCAGCATTTCGAGAGTTAAAAAAAGATGCATGATCTTCAAGTACTAGACTCTGGCAATCAAACTTATCAGTTGACCACACGGATTAGACAACACGAAAGAGACATTCAAAGTTTGTGAGTCTTCTCAAGAGAGTTCCTTCTCTCCGCCGTGGACTTCCTCTTAATCACTGTGTATCCAATACTCCCTTGTTCTTTCCCCGTAGAGTACCAGCGGGTGAGCATATCAATAGTCCATCATCATTTCTTCCCCACTGCGTTTTTCTCTCCTCCTTGCGTTCAAGTTGAGGCAAATGTTAATATTACAGCACTTTTGTTTTTCTCTCATCACCTGCGTCTTCTGTTTCATACTGTGTGAGACAGCGAGAAATGATTATTTGTATTTCCACTTGAAGAATCATATGTGTGTGCAAGAGATGGAGAACAAGCATGGGATAAATTGGAATCGAGATAGATACCACTGATAGAAATTGAGAGAGAGAGAGAGAGAGGGAGAGAGAGAGAGTCATCAGAAAGACTCTCAAAAGTTTATCACTGTTACTTATTATGCATTTTAGCGACAGTTTTTTGAAGAATTATGCACGGATAAAATAATAGATATTTTTCAAAAACTCACCTTTTTGCACAGATGAGAAATCGCTTTGTTTGCCGCAGAATATTCCATAGACTTCTCATAGGCCTCAATAAGATCACAAAGAGCTGCAGTGAGTCGTTGTGCTCCTCGAATCTCCATAACTGTCCGAGCTTGCTGGTTCACAGTAGAATACTCGAGGATCTGGAACACAAACGTACAGATAAATTTAAGTTTAACAACTATTAATGAATTACTGAAAAATTTATTACTATTACTGAAAAATACACGAATTCTTTCAGAGTTCATTTTTTAGAATAACTTTCACAAATAATAAGAAAATAAAGTACCGTATGAAATAGGCCAAGGGCTGCTTCCTCTCCAAGAAATTCTTTGGTTGGAGCATCCAATTGGCAGAAGCTGAATGCTGAGAGTATGATGTTCGCCGCGTGATTGGCAACTGCAGGAGTCGAACGACCACAGATGACCACAAGACGCTGAAAGTTGAAATTTGAAAAAAACTGAATCTGAATCAGTATTAGCTTACTTGAATGATAAACGTATGTGGCTTCACACGATGAACATTGTCATGAGCCAGTAGATTGTCGATGTAAGCACACGAACAACTATTGAGAACAAATCCCAGTGACATTTTCGGCAGAAGAGAAACGACGCCTGGAAGAAAGTTTCACATAAATCAGATTAGAAGATAATTCCTTTTTTGAAAACCTTTAATTTTTTGACACACTTTTGAAGTTATTACAATAAAAATTGCGTTTTATATAACTAATTCTAGATAAATAGAAAACTTGACAAAAAATTTTCCCTGTACTTTTAAAAGAACCGGAATTTTTTAACGATTTTCAGAAGATATCCTTTTGAAAACTTCAACTATTATTTTTGGATTGTCAGAAAAGAAGGTTTTTCGATATTTTTCTCATATGCGTAATTACTTTAGACCCGCTATAGCGTATAAAACAATATAAAGCAAGCGACAGAAGTCGGTTTTTCAAAAAATCAATTAAATAACGAAATACTTACCTCGCTTGGATATGGGCCTCTCAATATTGTCCCGATTCCGAATCATGTTGGTTGGTTTCAGCTCCTCTGTCGGGGCTGAACGCGAAAACATCATTTCGGCTTTTGAATGATAAGAAAAGACTTGTGAGATAACATATATATATATTAAAAACATAAAACTTCCCGCTAAAATTAGATCAATTAATAATCTGAGAAAAAAACATGAACCGCAAAAACCGAAAATCTGGCGCCATGCCAAACTTCAGTTCAGTGCCGATTTTTTTTTCTGAATACAACGACACTCCGAAATTACGCATTGCGCGTTGTTTAGTGGACGGAAAAGCGAACAACTGCCGCGGGCCGCCGGCATGCAATGAATTTTGTTGGTGAACCTTGAAACTGAAGCTGAAGTTCATAATTTTATTCAACACAACAGGGGATAAATAGAGTGGACAGTTAAACCCTGATTTTTCGGAAAATTTGAGAAATTAAAATGAGACTTAATTCTAAGTAGAAAAATATTGAATGCAAGAATGCAACATGCTGGTCTAAATTATGGTATTCGAAGGAACATCGAACTATAAAAGGGTTGCATATAAATCTTATTCATAAAGATATATTGGCTGACAAAAAAGTAAAAAACGAAGAAAAACAACGAGCCTATTTATTTGGTATTTAGAATAACTGGTTATCTAGAACTTATTTGAATAGAGAATTCATAAGATTGAAGCGTTTCTCTGGCGAATCATCACTGAATTTATATAACTTCGTTTAAGTCAATGACAACCTTTCTCTGCAGGTCTCCGTTTTATTACAGCGCTGGTGGATAACATGTGATGTACTTTTTTTCAATTAAAATAATGTCTTATTGACAGAACGCCTCTTTGCAAGTGCCATTTTAATAGTTGAAATTATAATCCATTCTGGAATGCGGACATGAAGGCTGAAGTCAGTTTACTTCCTTCTTGTTTTTAAATCCTTTTTGTACCGTGAGACCCTGAAACTACTGTAACATTATTTTCCGAAATGTATCTGAAACCCAAGATTGAAGATGTTTTTGTATTGGAACCTAAATGTTTCCTGCATTTTTTGCTTACATAGTATTAATCCTCTGATATCGGTGTGTTGAAGTACCGTACAATAATAGAAGGCTGCCGGTACCGTCAACTTTGAGCCTACATATCTCGGTTCCTGTAAAAGATATCAAAAAGCGGTCAACTAGCAAATCATGATATCAAAAATTGATATCAAAAAATGATATCAAAAATGATATCAAAAATTTTGTCATTTGACCACCTTTTGATATCTTTCACAACAACCGAGATATATGGGCTTAAAGTTAACGATTTGTGTAGCTTTCTACATTACAGGGATTACGGTAACATACCGTAAGCCCTGTATTAGAAGGGTCCCCATCACAAAACGTGGTTTGAATTTGAAAAATTGCTCAATTTAGGTGAGATTGATAAATTTTTATTAGTTTTTGACTATAAATCACCGTAATAGAAGGACCCTCCGGAGGTACCTGCGAACAATAAAAGGGCAGATCCTTCTAATACAAGCTTTACGGTTTTTTAGGAATCATGTACTTCAGATGCACATTTTTTTTCAAAAGTGTATTTCGGTACGTCGCTTCTAAATCTGATGATACTACTGTACATTCCCTTTTCGTGTTATTGTGAGGAGAATTGTTTTCATATTGACTTCTTCGAAAAAGTAAAGTACAATCCCATAAATCTTCTTTTCATGTCACCTCCCTGTGTGTTGAAGTTCTCATTTTAACGTATTCTTTTCTTTTCTAAAGCGATCCGTCGGCCGTCGGATTTTCTCTCGTTTTCTGCTTCTTCCTACAATAGAAAAGAAAAGATAAAAATCATGGTCGTGTGGAAAGGGAGGCGGTGTTGGTGTGGTAGTGTTTCTGGACATGGAACATAAACGATCTGATGTCTGCGATTCCTTACTTATCCACACTTTTCCAGAAATACAATGTGAAAAACCCGTTCCGCACCAATTCTCTGCGTCTCTATAATATCCAGATCCTCTCTGATTTCTCAAGGAAAAAGAATGAAGAAGCTAAATATAAGCCCTCATTCTTCTGATTTCAAAATTGAACAAATGTTGCTCTTATTGGCGTTATTGCCCACTGTGGCTATAGCACAGAATACTTTTCAAAATACCATCTTTGACCTTCCTGCTCAACTTGGAGGAGAGCCAGTTGGAGTAGCTGCTCAAGCTCAAGGAGCACCTCTTCTTCTTCAAACAGCTGACCAGAAACCACCAGCTCCAGTTGGTGCCCAACTCCCGAATGCGGTCCCAGTTCCAGCTGCACCACAAGCTGTAACTGTTGCTCCATTCACATTCCCAACACTTCCAACAGTTGCTCCATTCGCTCTTCCAAGTCATCCAACTATTGCTCCATTCACTCTGCCAACCCACGCTCCATTCACATTCCCAACTCATCCTCCATTGGTATTCCCACCACCATCAACACCTGCTCCATTTGTTCCACCAAGGTACGTACTTTTTATAATTGCATCAAAATGTATGTTCCTGTGATTTCTTTATTTCATTTTTCCTGGATCTTGGGAAGGAAGTACTGTATTAATTGGATCTCGAATGTTCCCAAAAAATCAGAAACTTTCTTACCGTACTCTTCTTTTCCCTTTTTTGTGAAAAAACTCCTGTTTCAACTTTTCTAATTTTCCAAATGGAAAAATAATGTTTTGTTTCATACCCACCTTATACTTTTCACTTTGAGCTAATTTATCTCGGTTCTCGTGAAAGATATCAAAAAGTGGTCAACTGACAAAATATTTTGGATGTTATGATAAACTGTTGATAGTTTTTTGATTTCTCTTATAGAAATTCAGTAATTGAGCTCAAAGTGAAAATCTAGGGTACCGCACTCTTACCGTACTCTTCTTCCTACTCTTTCTGTAAAAATTTTTGCTTCAACTTTTCTAGGTGTCCAAACTTTTAGGAATTGAGTTCCTAGTTTCAGTTATTTTTCAATTTTTAGTCCCTACGCATTTGTTCCACAACAAGGATACCAACAACAGAATAACTTCCAACCATACAACGGATATCCTCAACAACAACAACAACAACAACAACAAGGAAATCAGTATTACAACTATAATAATGGAAACTACAATCAGGTATGTAATGATTTTGAAATTTTTTATTCATCTTCTTGACTGTCGGCTCGTAACTTTTAGTCAGAAGTTGTGGAGGTTTCGGCTTTTAGACGGAACTTGCCCAAAAACGGCTGTATGGCGGGTCACGGGCAGGTTTTGGTCGGAACCTTGTCATAAGTTTTTTAGAGTTTCCTCGACGCCCGAGCGTCTTCAAATTATCCTTTTTTGTCCCACAAGGAAGAAAATCCCGATAAAATCAAAAATAGATGAATCCACACCTTTGAAAATTATGACGTTAAATCGGATAAGGTGTTGAAGTGTGTCTCTTGTCAGATTGGTTTTTGGTTGGATGGTATGCCTATGGCATCGCCGTTTTGCAGTGTCATCCTTTATGAGAAAACACGTCCTGGAAAAAGAAAAGAGGCAACACACAGGATAATTGAACTGGATAACGGGAGGAACACAAAGACAAAAACGAATAATCGAAAAGAAAGAAAATGACGAATTTGGGCAGATACATAGAAAATATCTGGTTGGATGAATAATCGACTTTTTATAAAGACAAATTCCAAAGATACTTTAGTCTTTTGGAATTACTAATATTTCAAATTGCAGCAACAACAATACAATGGATACAACAACAACAATCAACAACAGCAACAATACAATAACTACAACCAACAGCAACAAATTGTTCAACAACCACAACAACCACAGGTTCCTCAACAACCCCAACCACAACCACAAGTACCACACCAATCGGTTCAACCAGTTCAACCACAACAGCCACCAGTGCCATCGCCACAAAACGGTGGACCACAACAAGTGCAATCCTTCGAATCGAACACTCAAATCGTTCAACCAGTCAGAGCAGTTCAAGCCAATGCTCAAGTTGTTCAGCCAGTTTTAAAACCAGCTGTAAGTTTTTTTAATGAAACTGTACTCAACTGACCAACGAAACATTCAGGCCAAAGCAGTTGCCACTGCCGTAGTGGACACAGATTCATCTGCAAAGAAAGCTTCTGAATTCAACAAGGCCAATGCTATCGAGCCACCAAAGCCAGCTCACGCTGAGAAAGCTTCTTTAGATGCCGAGGTATTTTGTGAATGCTTCGTGAGAAACGCTTCAAGCAGCAACTTTTCAGGTCGATGCCAATGTTGATCGTCATTTGTGGTTTGCTGCTGACTACGATGTGAAACGTAAACAATTAAAAAATGGTTCCAATTAATTGATCATATTTCTACAGAATGTCGCAAGAGTCTCAATGGAATCGGAGTTCGCTTCCAGAAGAAGTTCCCATCGTACCTTCAGAAAGGAGGAAAAGATAGAGAACTCGCTGAACTCGTTGAGCAGAGACTTCTAGAATGCGAGAGAAAATCATCGGCTTCTCATTGGGATAAGGTTGACACTCTTCTTCAAAAAATCAGTCTCACCAAGAGGTTCAAATTTCTATAGTTCTAATAACTTTTAGATGCTTTTTCAGTGAGGAAGGTGAATGCCGCGCTGGTCTCATCCAAGAAAGAATCTCTTGTGTCAATCTTCTGAAGTACACTTGCCAATTCGTCGATTCATCGTACCACTTCAAGTTGGTTCCAGCCAGAATCACTATTCAAGAAGCTCGTCAAGCTGAAAGTGGAGCCGAGAAGTGCAGACAGGTTATCCGAATTGTGAAGCAAAGATTGGAGTCTGGAGCTGTCACACTGTAGATGAAAATAACTTCTTTCGTTCTTTCTCTTTTTATGTAAATAGGCGCAAAATTTGACATTTTTTATATGGATATGATGTGCAATAATAATTTATTTATTTTTTCCGGATCTACTTTTTTCTAAAGGTGGGGAAAGATGAGCAATAGCAGAATGTGTGTGTACACGTAGAATCACAGAGAAATGAATTGAAAGAATAGGACTATAGCTAAAAAGCAATCTACATCGACAATTTGATGAATCAGCTAACAACGACATCGTCTATATCTTCCACTTCCAATGTGGCTGCATTCTTTGACTGTTTTGGATCCTCTTTCTGTAAGATGACTCAGATTTTTCATATCTGCTCTTATCTCAGTACCTCTTTCAGTAATGTTGACATCACTATTCCAGTGAAAAGAATGATTCCCATCCACGAATTCGACTTGAACTTGTCCCAACAATCGGCTCCATTGTCAATATCAACTGATCCGATTTGCCATCCAAGTTGTGCGGTTGTAGCAGCCAATGCTACGTAGTATGGCCATGTTTGGTCACTTGCCATCCCACAAGCAGTTAGAGATGCAACAGTTCCAACTCCAAACGCAGATAGCCATTTTTTGGTATCAGCTCCTAGTCGAAGAGCTGTTGACTTCACACCAATCATGATGTCGTCTGCTTTGTCCTGAATGAAAATTGATATTTCTGAAATTTCGCAAAGATGGTAGAGTCAGAATATCGTCGGTCCGGATAAGAAGAAGAGCGATTTCATGCGTTTGGGGTTACGGTAGGTATAAAGAGATGGGCCAAGGTACACAAAAAGACATGAAATCTATCCAGGGAGCGATCGCATTTAAGAGACTGCTAAGAATAGATTTAGAGACAAGACAAAACGATTATCTCCCCAAAAAAAAGGCAACCTGATGTGCATAAATAGTATCGTAAACAAGCGTCCATTGGAGTGCAGCTGCATACATCCAGAACGGTGCAGAAGACGACAGATCACCCTTTAATGCAGCCCATCCGAGTAGAGCTCCCCAGTTGAAAGTGAGTCCTGTACTATGAGAGAAAAGAGGATTTGGTAGGATAATGAGAAAAAAGCGAGAATGGAAAAGTGAGAGAAGCTGAGTAAGACTACTGTTTTCTAAAAGATGCAGATACCACCCTGAACCAGGTCCCTGATTCGGGTTTTATGATGACATAAAAACATTGCCCACCACCACCGCAACACGGTCTTTTACGCTTTGCGAACATACAAAAACTCAAAACAAGTCACAACACTTACTAATGGAAGCCTACCGTAACCCGTGCATAGAAATTAGCCTAAGCCTTGAATCGGTACTCGGGACCCCATAAATACAAAATCATATGTTATTCGTCTTCTCCGAAATTAGTGCCACCTATCTTTTTTCTTCTCTACCTGATGACTATATATAGTGTCGTAGATGACCGTGTGCAGAATGGTGGCTGTGTAGAGAGGCAAAAAAATGCCAAAATCTTTGACATGACCCATTTCGGCCCAAGCTATCAGCACACTCCAATTCAGGGTGGCACCTGCAACCGTAACAAACAGAAAAGTGAGAACTAGAAATAGCTAGCGATGATAGGAAAGATTCCAAGGCTGGTGTTCCCTGATATAAGAAGAAAGACTAACCTAGCATAAACTGAGGCCAATAAGTGTATCGTTTAGCCAATGGGTATCCAACAACCAATGCCATTGAAGAAGCTCCGACCGCAACACTGAAAATAGTGTTTGAGATCTCGTCGTACACAGATTAATACCTAAACCAGTTTAATTGCAACAAAATCGCCAGAGATGAACTTAGGAGCCCCGCCAAAAGACCGACTGCTTGCTTTTCAGATAACAACCCACATGCTAACGGTCTCAATTTAGTACGCTCCACCTTAAAATCCAAAGTTAGTTTCTCCCAAAACCGGGAAATGCGAACTTGTTTATCGAAATCTTTATCCCATAAATCGTTGATGACACATCCGGCACTTCGCATAAGAAATGCTCCTGTTCCGAATAAGGAAAGCATGTAGAGAGAAGGCAACTGACCAGCCGGAGTAGCCATTGCTATACTCCATGTGCATGGCCAATATAATAACCAAGTCCCTGAACAGAAAACAAACTTTTTGAAAAGTTGGTTCACAAACCAATAGGTTTATCAACTCTCATCAGTTGTAGATATGGTTTTATATTTGAAGGTGAAGCAGCAACTAAACTACTTGCTGTTGGTATCAGTGACATTGGCTGACGGATGCTGAAAGTTGCTGTGGATTTAGGAAAAGTGAGGTTCTTGAAAACCTTGTGGAAATATATCGTTTTTGGTTATAATACATTTCAGAGGAAGAAGCATAGTTGACAAGCACTGATGCACATTGTGGTATTCTCCTCACCCCTATCGACCTGATAATCATCTGGAAAAACAACAAAAATGAAGTGTTTCTCGCTTCTGAAAAGGAACAGCTGGAAAGAAACCGTATTTGCAGTGTTTGTTGAGAAATTGGAACCAAAAAACAATTTTATTTAAAAAGAAAGGACCAACAAGAAAACATAACATAACAATTTTGCGAGAAAAGCGAACAATGAATCAAAATAGGTGGCTAAGGAAAAGAGCGGAGAAGTATACGTGCAGAATGGAGTGAAAGCGGAGAAATCGAAAGAGGAGCAGCTGGTGCTCAGTCGATTCTCTGCGTCTCTTATCTTCCTCAATTGCACTTAGAATTCCATACTATCCATCTTTCGTCCTTCAACAACCACGGATGTGATGACATGACCGTCTTCTGTTTCCTTTGATTCAAGTTCGCGGCGAACTTCCGGCGAGATGAGATAGTGACCATGGAACTGAAGGTTGAAATTTCGAATTAAAAAAAATTAGTGATAGCAGAGGCCGTATGCAAGAAAGTGGTGGAAAACCATTTTCCGGTGTTTGGAAAATGATTTTCAGAAAGTCTGGAAAGGATATTCATTTTTAGTCATTTTTCGGACCAGAATCAATTTTAAAATGGGAAAAAATAATTTAAGACTTTCAGAAAATCCTTTTTCCAAACACCGGAAAATGGTTTCCGCCTTCTTTCATGCGACCTAAGAACTCAGATTCAATAGTGTTGGGGGATGACATAATTTAATTTCTTCCGTATTGGAATATCTTTAACCTCTTGCTATTAGCCTGGTCAATCCTGACCGGGGAATTGGAACGCCCCTGTCAACCAGGGTGCTCTACATTCCATAGCATAATAAAAAGAACTTTCATACTTAAAGTATTGGTTTGCTCAATATAATTTGATAAATTTGAAACTGTGCGCATTTGGAAATGAAGAAGCCGAACGTGAACCAGAATCAACAGAAGAAAAAGAAGGTTCCAAGCCACGGAGGAGAAACAGATGTTATTACCAGCCTCAAAAAAAGTAGCTCTACTCTCTTTTCTCAAATTCGGCACGTTTATAACAAAAAAGGACCACAAGAGCAACAGGGTAGTAAAACAGATAGTATGGAGACAAATGAGCAGCCATGGTTTCATGGATTACTCCCGCGAGAAGAAGTTCAGGTGGAATACCTATTTTCAAATAAAAGTTTATTCTTGAATATTTAGCTTCTACTCCTTAAAAATGGCGACTTCCTGGTTCGTATGTCTGAACCTAGTTCGGGACAGGCAAGGCATTTGATTTTGTCAGTAATGCAAAACGAATCGAGCCAGGAAGCAATGCATTATGTCATTCGTAACGCTGACGGGAAGTTCTCAATCACAGGGAAAGAAAATTTTGATAGCCTTATCGAGTTGATTAATCATCACAAACAGAACAAGTTGCATGAGGTGGCATTCATTCAAATCGCAGATATTTGAATCATTTTTCAGGATAATCCAAAAAGTGTCTTAATCAACGCCATAGGCCGTCAACCATGGGAACTGAACCACTCAGATGTTACGATGACAAAAACACTGGGAGAGGGAGCTTTCGGTGAAGTGAAATTGGGAACTCTCAAAATGGGTTCGGATTCTGTAGACTGTGCAATTAAAACCGTAAGTTTCGGTGTTCATTCTCGTACGGTATCGTGTTTCCCATAGGCAAAACTCGATAAGTTAACAAAAGAGCAAATAAAAGAGATCACCACTGAAGCTCGTCTCATGCGTGGATTCAACCACAAAAACGTAGTTCGGTGCTATGGAGTGGCTGCGGTAGATGAGCCATTGCTAGTGGTGATGGAATTGGTCAAAGGTGGAGGTCTTGACGGATATTTACAGAAGAATTCTGTGCCATGGCCAGAAAAACTCGACATCCTTACTCAGGTTGCTTCTGGTATCTCTTACATTCACAGTAAGAATATCATGCACAGAGACATTGCGGCTAGAAATGTTCTTTATGGCGGTGGAGTGGTGAGTGTGTAAGTAAGGATCTGACTAGTATTACTTCAACAGGCAAAAGTTTCGGATTTCGGTATGTCACGAGTCGGTACCGAATATCAAATGAATCCGAACAAAAAAGTACCAATCAGATGGCTATCTCCAGAAACCCTTATAACGTTCGTGTACACTCAAAAAACTGATGTTTTCGCATTTTCGGTGCTTTGCTGGGAAGTTATCGAGAATGGAACACAGCCGTATCCTGAGTTCAAAGTTGTTGAAGTACACCAGAAAGTTGCCAAAGACGACTACAGAATGCCAATTAGCGATAAAGCACCTTCACTAATTGCTGATGTTATCGTAAGATGTAGCTGCATTCTTTTTGAACGATGGTGGTTTTTACAGAAAAAATGTTGGGTTCGAAATGCACTTCAACGTCCATCAATGGCTCAAGTAGTTCAAATGATGACATCTATCACTGGGAAAAAGGAACTAAGCAAGTCAGGAGGAACAGTCAGCGCAGAACGAGCTAAGATTTTTGGTGGTGTTGGAAATGGTCCTCTATCTGATCCGTGTCGTGAGAAAACGATTATAAAAACCGGAAGACGTAACGTAAAAAAGAGACCAACATGTCAATTAAGTGCAGGTAATTCTGGAGCTCAGCTATCATCTCCTTCTTCGTCAAAGGAGAAAAAGAAAAAAGGAGGAAAATCGAAACGCTAGCCCGAATACTTTAATGAACTTAACTGCTTGTTTTTGACCAATAAAGATACTTCTGATCACATATATATATTATACTTTTTCTATTTATGTCTGAAACTCACTCTGATAAGCTCATGAATGGCGGCTTTCTGTTCGGCATTCAGATCATTCTTGTATCTTTGACATAATGCCAAAAGGCACTGATGCCACAAGACGGGCATGTCTCGCTCGTCGTTTTTCAGACGGATGAAATGATTGACGACACCATCGACTGCACGATACGGAAGCGCATACTTCTTGTCAATGAGTGCACGAAGAAAGACAGAATTGGCGCCAGTGTATTCCATCTCCGCAATCTGGAAAAGGTCATTGGTAGAGACTTATGTACGGCATCATGTCAAAGCAACGTACTCTGAGCATAGCGGCAGCTGAGTGGAAAATAGGAATAGGCACTTTTGTGAGCACCGAACTGAAGATGACCGCTTCACGGAGTGTACAGGTTCCAGACTGAAATTTCGAGCGCCTTTTCTTTATCTCGATTCCGTTATACACTCACCTCCAACAATGGAAGAATAAGTCCTTTGAAAAACGCTGCTGGCTTGTAAATAGCTTTACAGAGAGCTTGATAAAGATGGTAGTTCAATTTTTTGAACTCATCAATATCATCTCGGAGTCGGGGGAGAAGGACCAGCGTGTAGAATCTGAAATCAAAACAAAACATGAAAGTAGTTCGAGTGGCTATTCTAACCTCTGACACATTTTTGGATTCATGTTGGAAGCGAATAGTCGTGTGGCTTGGTACATAGCAGCTGCAGTCCAAGTTTCGGGCTTTGTGAGGCTAAACCGAATTATTCGTTTCCTTCACTTTACGAACACTTACAAAAGAATCTGTTCCCAATTGATCATTTTTGGAATGATTTTGAAAGCTTTCGGCACCTTTCCACTGCGATATTTTGACATGTACTGACCAATCTGCTCATACATTTCAACAACTTCTGGATCCATATCCCGCATCTAGATAAGAAGAAAAACTGTTTTACGGTGCAACTAAAATGTTATTTACATTGAACTCGTTTGGATCAACTTGACTGAGAGCTAATTCGGCATCGTTCTGCTTCGCTTCGATTTTGGCTTGGATAATGTCATAGAGAGTGGAAATTTGAGCGGCATCTTTCTTGAGGAACCTCGCCAAGTCTGCTTCATCTTGTGGATCGAGCTCCTAGAATAATGCAAATTTTATATTCAACTTTCCAAGATAAAAATATTACAATGATCTGATCTTCAAATCCATTGTCATCTTCCTCCTCGTCATCGTCTTCATCATTAGATTTCTCATCATCATCTCCGAGCCAACTTCCGCGTTGTCTGAAATATGCTATAATAGCTACATGGCTCGAATGGATGTGAGGTATGTAGTATCCTATTTCTAATAACACTGTACCTCTTCGAAACTCTTGAAGTATCGGCTGCGCCTTGTTCATCTATAGCTTCTTCCAGAAGCTGTTTCCTTGCCTCGTTAAGAATTTTTGATGATAGCGAATCCGGGACGAACTGAAGAAAACACCCAGGATTTACTGTAACAGCGCTATCGGGGAACAAACCTCATCGGTTTCAGATTCTGCTCTTTTTCTTTTCTGTTTCTCACGAAGCTCTTCCCTCTGTTTTGCTACATTTCCCGCTTCCAATTGGTTATCAAGTGGAGCGTTAGCTGATAGTTTGTCTCCCCTTCCTTTCAAATTTTTTTTCACCATGTTGCTGAAACTGATTACAATAATAAGATAATCTACGAATTTGTCAAAAATATACCCTGAAAGGCTGAAACCCCTATCAGACTAGTCATTCACTTCTAAGCAAAAGTAACATACGCGATTTCATTACTTGTCAAGAAAAAAGAAAAGCGCAGGACGATAGAGATTTGTCAACAAATGACAGGAAGTGGGTGGGGGGGGGGGGGGGTTGAAAAGGAAGAAACTAAACTCTAAAAGTGAAGAGCAATAAATTCTTTGAACCAATAAGGGGACAGGGAGAGAGTTCCAATACCAATAATGAATTTCAAGACAATGAAATCACGCGTAATATTAAAATGGGTGGGATGGGGAGAAAGAAACATAACATGGATAAATATGAGGAAACAAGGAGGATGTATCAGGGAGTGAGGGCGATCGGTGAGGGATAGAAAAGACGGATTAGATTTAGATGAGGTCGGCGATCGACTCCGGCATTTCTTCGATTTGAGTCGTGTAGTATGTCTCGATCTCCTTGAGCTGACGAGCATCGTTTTCAGTCACGAAGTTGATCGCAACTCCCTTACGACCGAAACGTCCCGAACGTCCGATACGATGGATGTAGTTCTCACGATTGGACGGGAGATCGTAGTTGATAACGAGCGAAACCTGAAAGAAAATACTGAGATAAGTCGGCCGCTAACTAGAGAAGTTAGTCCTCTTTCTGCAATAATCACCTGTTGGACATCAATACCACGAGCTAAAATGTCAGTGGTGATAAGGACGCGAGAAGATCCGGAGCGGAATTCGCGCATGATAGTGTCACGCTCAGCTTGATCCATGTCTCCGTGAAGGCAGGAAACAGTGAATTGCTTGCTAGTCATCTGTTCCGTGAGTTGGTCTACCTTCCTGCGAGTGTTACAGAAGATGACAGCTTGAGTAACATTGACAACGTTGTAGAGATCACAGAGACAATCGAACTTCCACTCCTAAAAAACCATCCTACGAATAAGAAATCAGACAGCAAAAACTTACGTCTTTCTGGACATTAATGTAGAACTGTCTGATACCTTCCAAGGTGAGTTCATCCTTCTTGACAAGAATGCGAATTGGATTACGCATGAAGCGATCAGTAACATCGAGAACCTCTGCTGGCATAGTAGCCGAGAGAAGAACGACTTGGACGTCTTGTGGCATGGAACGGAAAACGTCGTAGATTTGGTCTTTGAAACCGCGAGAGAGCATTTCGTCGGCCTCATCAAGAACGAACATCTTGATGCGAGATGTATCCAAAGCGTTTCTGTTGATCATGTCTCCGACACGTCCTGGAGTTCCTACGACAACGTGAATTCCGTTCTCAAGCTTGCGTTGATCGTCACGAACGCTGGTTCCTCCAATACATGGAAGGATATTCACATTGAGGTACTCTCCAAGAGCGCTCATGACCTTTTGGATCTTAAAAAAACATTTCAACTAATGGAAGGAAATTTCTAATGATCTCACCTGCTGAGCCAACTCTCTAGTTGGAGCCATGACGAGAGCCTGGACATGTGGATCAGAATGATCGATTCTTTGGAGAATCGAAACCGAGAAAGTAGCAGTCTTTCCAGTTCCGGACTGCGCTTGAGCGATCACGTCCTTTCCAGTTGTGCATGGAACAATAGCTCTCTTCTGGATAGCAGATGGCTTTTCGAAACCGAATCCGTAGATTCCGCGAAGAAGTTCTTCTTTCAACTCCATATCGTCGAAAGATTCGACGACTTGATCGTAGTTTCCCTGAAATTATTATTGTTTCGAAACAACTTGTTTTAAATATGTTAACAATGAAGGAGACTTTCTTACCTCGATCAAGCCGTCGGCGTCGACCATTGAAGATCCGTTCACATCATTTTTAGCATCGGTCATGACAGGTGGGTATCAAAGTTAAAAATTAACTTTTGAAAGTGCAGTTGAGATTCTGAAATAGAATGTCTTATTTATGAAATGCATAGTAGTGAGAAGCAAATGTTGCGAAAGACAAGTTGGTCCTAAAATTTTCAATATCTTTGGCTAGGTCAATTAACTTTTCTAAAAAGTTGAAACACTATATGTGACTGAAATTTGAATTACAGATTAAATAAATAAATTTCAAAAAAAGATTTTCAGCTTTGAGAAAAATCCAAAAAAAAAGAAAACGGTCAGCGAAGCGAGAAAACCGCCCCAAAACCGGGGGAACAAATCATTCGAACGAGGGACGGGTCTCGCCACGAAAAGTGTTTGCGATGGAGCGCACATACAGACAGGCAATTTTTTGAGGAATTTTTCGTTTTAACTGGTTTAACTGTCGAAAACTCGGGATTACCTATCTGATTTTAATATTATTATGACTACTTATCGCTTCACATTGAAGCAGAACATCGTACTAGCAATCAAGATATGTCTTAAGCGCTCTTAACTATTTTTTGAATTCTAAAAATATGTCCTGAAATTCGTCGTTCTCTTAGCTATATCAAGAACCACATGACACTGACTTCTCGTTGTACCTGATGAAAATATTTTTTAAAAAACTACGAGCGCGGTGAGCATAAGGAGACAGAAAATGAGACGTCATCCGCGTATGCGCGAAGAGACGACTGAGCAATTTAGGCAAATGAGCGAAAAGAGTGAGAGAGAGAGAGAAAGAGTGCGGACGGCTGTGGGCGTTCTAAATGACATGAATGAGAACGAATGGAGGGAACGAGAACGCCATCTGCTGCCTGAATGAGAACACCTGTTGACACCAAATAAGGCTTGGCAGAATGCCAATAATCCTACTGTAGATCCTAATCTGGTGTGGGAAACGACCAAAACTGAGCACTGCATAGAAAATGACCTAGAAAATAGCAAACTGACCGGGTGGAGAAATCGCGTTAACTTTATTAGCAATTTGAAATATATACTCTGAAAGGTTGTCCTCAAAACGAATCAAACTATTCCTGACTTTCCGGCTGTTACCCATCGTTTCCCTCGCGTTTTCCTCCTCCGCTCTTCACTCTCACATATTGACATAAATCTCGAAGAACAGAATCCGCGCGGACACAACCCGCTGGAGAAATATTACACTCATTTTCACTCTGCTGCTTCCTTCCTCTTTGTCATTATCGATTTTCAACTACAGAAAATCTTAAAAGCGACACCGAACAGTTTAAAATATGGTTTTTGTACTTATTGAAATAAAATATCACTTCGAGATTCAGAATTTGAATGTTTCTTATGGAGAAAATACCATCGGTATCATTTGAAATCAGTAATGGGGTTATTCATGTAGCGAAACTCTGTATTGAAATGCATTTCGGCGCCCTCGAAATTCAATGCAGGAGTGTCGCGAAATGTATTTCAAAGTTTATTTCAAAATTTCAAAGCATTTCGCGACATAACTGTAAATGCATTGAAATACATCGCGTGGCTGAATATTTTTTCTGGAAAAAGGGATGCGCCTTTAAGCTTTGTGGA